CCATCTAGAAACATGTCAAAATGTGACCTTACAGGGTAGATAGCATCACATCTTAACATCAAGCCACATTTCCAGTCAGTTTCAGTAAGAACTGTCTATATGCAAGAATTGGCTTCATCTGTTTTTTTTTGTCCATTGGCAAAGACTAGGAAAACAGATCAGGAATTCAGACTTCATAAAGGTACCCAGCTATCTAGAACCATTAGGCAACTCTGGTAAGAATCTGGACTAAAACACAGTTTAACCAGGGAACATCAAATTGACTTAGAATGTACTGCCTTAGAAGTCATACTAGTTGTATTCACATTTCACTCACTATGCACATTCTAATCTCTAACACAAGGAGGCAGGAGTCCGGTGAGGTGTTTTGCTGTCCAACCTATCTCATCAACAGGGCAGCAAATTCAGATTGCAGACTTCAAGCCCAACTTTATAAAAGCTAACTTCTGAATGCTGGACTCAAGCTATAATATTATTTTTAGTGTAGTTTTAATGGTATTTCATTTAAAATACCCAGCTGTGAGAAAGTGACCTCACATGACTTTAGCAGGGACACTTAAAAAGAGAGATCTTAAGTTCACTTGTACTGAACTTTACCACTTGAGCTCCTGGGATAACTTGTGTTTATGATAAAAATGAAATAATGGGAGATGTGGGGGGGGAAAAGTATAAGCAGTACAGCTGATCAATACTAAAAGCAAAAGTATCACAGCTTTGTCTCCCACTTCAGATTCCATTATCATAATCAAAAATACATAAATTACTCGTTTGGTACTAATTTCTAAATCCCCTAAGCCAGACACAAGGAAAAAATACACTTTTCTAAGTGTCACAGTAAACATCAATACCTGAAGATGTAAATATCTTTTCTATCCCAGGAACGTGTAAGTAACATATACACGTACATGCACACGCTCTTCTAAAGTAAGAAATGAAATCTAATTTTTGTTTTTTATGCTGCAAACGAATTCTAAGTTCAAACCAGTCTTGGCGGGTTTTTTTGTTTGTTTTTTTAAGAAAACATTTTCAGCTGGTGCAAAAACACTTCCCAGCCCTGGAGATTGAAGAGGAGAAAAAGGCTGGATGAGGTAACACCTCAGAGCTGAGTAAGACAGCCAGACCCGCTCCACGTGCAACCAAGAAAAATTCCAAGTGCAAGGTCCTGCACCTGGGTTGGGGCAATCCCAAACACACATACAGGCTGGGCAGAGTATGGATTGAGAGCAGTCCTGAGGAGCAAGACTTGGGGCTGCTCATAGATGAAAATCTTAACATGAGCCAACACTGTGCGAGTTCACCCAAGAAAGCCAACTGTATCCCAGGCTGCATCAAAGGCGTGTGGCCAGCAGATCAAAGGAGGTGATTCTCCCCCTCGGCTCTGCCTGCCTGAGACCCCACCTGGAGTACTGCACCCAGCTCTGGAGTCCCCACCACAAGAGGCACATAGACCTATTTGGAGCAGGTCCAGAGGAGGGCCAGAAAGGTGATCAGAGGGCTGGAAGACCAGTCCTACAAGGACAGGCTGATAGGTGGGCTTGTTCAGCCTGGAAAAGAAAAGGCTGCAGAGAGCAGCTTCTAAGGAAGAAGTTCTTCACTCTGTGGATGGTGAGACACTGGTTGCCCAGGTAAGTTGTAGATGCTGCATCACTGGATGTGTTCAAGACCAGGTCTAGTGGGAGGTGTTCCTTCCCATGGCAGAGGGGTTGGAACTAGATGATCTTTAAGGTCCTCTCCAATCCAAATCATTCTGTTATTCTATGATAATTATATTTGCTTTAGTAGCAAAAAAAAAAAAAATGGCCCTTTCTGCTTCAAGAGAAAGTTTACAAACATTTTAAGCTTCCTTGCTTGCATAGCAAAACAATCAGAAATTATGTTGCATTATGCCACAGACATAATGCCAGCAAAGTGTTGCACAAATTGAATTAAAAACATTTAGGATTTTTTTCCACAGGTAAAGAAGATACGTGTAGCAGGCATGATGAATGCTATGAACAGGTAATAATTTTTTTTTCACTACTGTTTCTATGAACACAATTTAATAAAATTTCTGTTGATGACTAAAATTTAAACATAAATAGTATTTATTTTGCTAGGGACTTCGTGCTTCAGCAGTAACAGTAAACTCTCAAACATGCACAAATTTCTAAATTAATTGCATTTCCTACAATAATTAACTTCCTATAAACAGTTATCTTCATCAGTGACATTGCGGTTTCAGAAATAATATATTGAGGTCAGTTTCATTAACATAAGTTCAATTTAATTTTAGCACCACAGAGATTTAGCTTTGTCTTTACGCTGAGTAATGGTTCATTTTGTGATGGTGACTACTTATTTCAATAAATTTACATTGCTTAATAAAGTGCTTCTGATAAATGAAGGTGATAAAATTGAAAATTTAACATAAATGCAGTGATAACACCTGGAGATGTCAATATAGTGAACTGCCTGTATGCAGCAGTTAAGTACTTCTTTTAAACCTATACCAAAGCAATCATGTGATACACACATTATCATTAGCAGGCAGATACTTTCATTTGGCAGGTTTTTTTGGTTTCCTCTTTTGAGGCAAATGCTTAAAACTATTCACATCAAAATATGTCTCTTTGAATCATGCTTCACCCCCAGATCTGTATCTCTAGGGCACTATAACAATTTAATGAAGAAACAGCATTTACTTGAGTTGCCTGGAACCACAGAGGGGAAAATTCTGTTGCTCCAACAGAATGAACCATCAGGAAAAAAACAGGCAAGAAACACCACGGAATCATGGGAAAATCACCACGGTACCATCTTCAGAGAAAACCTAAGTCTGAATTTACTGAGCAACAGTTCAGTGACAACAGAATTAATTGAAGTCTGAGTTTTAGTGGATCTGTGTTTTGTAGGTTAGCTTATCACATGGACTATGTCATCCCAGACCACAAAGGGAAAAATTTCTGTTATAACCTTTACCTCAGTGAAAGTATGTATTTGCATGTGTGCAGCTTTAGGGCTCCACTGCCCACTCCCTCTAAACTGTAGAATTTTCCTGTCATTAAGGCCTTTTTCAAATTTGGTTGACATTGGCTAACTCACTAGAATTACTTGAGGAGATGGATAAATTTACAACACAATCAACCAAAAATGCTCACAAAATCAGACTCAAATTTGTATGTAATTTTTATAGGCACATTTTGGTAGACCATTTTTAGCTCCTGGTTTTCCCAGAGTATCTTACCAGGTGCCCATGTGCTTGTAGGACCAAAACCCACTTTCTAAAATAGCCACTTAGCCTTCCCTCTTCAGAGACAAAAATAAAACCAAACCTGATCTCATTTTTCCTTTTGCTGTTTTTGCTTACACACACATAATTCAACTGAATTTAAAATTTGAATGAATTAGAGCTGTATCAATGCAAAATTAAAGCTAGGCTCCTGTAAATGATGGGAGAATTTATCTTAAACTTTACAATTAGGAACATGAAAAAATATTCTTTTATGGCAACTACCGTGTTTTGATATTACAAATCACAAACCTAATTTCAAATGGACAAAACAATGCAGTGTGTTTCCATAGAAACGTGTTAGATGAGGATGTGTACTAAACAGTGGTCTCAGCAAACAAGACTGCATTGCAGAAATGTGGCTTTGTAATACGTTTCAGAGAAAAATGAAAAAGATTTTAAAAACATGACCGACTGTGTTTCAACAATTTTTTTCAAACATTAATGAATTCAATAAAACACACAGATAACAAGATCTTCAATGAAACGCTAAGGCACTTATTAGTAACAGAAAGGTGAAGCAATGTGTCAGTATATATATATATATATATGTATCTCTTAAGATAAATTTGTAGTTAGCTAGCTAGCTCATTCTGCTCTGGAATAGGCTTTAAAAATAAGAATTGCATTTTCTTCTAAAAAAAAATCCATCTTGAATTGACTGAAGTGAGTTTCGGATATGGAATTCTAAATATTGTCTCTAGTCATTTAAAGCACCTTCAGTCAAGATGCTCTTACGCTCTAGAAGCTAGTTTTTATGCAACTGTAACTTAATTACTTGAGTTAACACTGCAAAATGGCGGAGTATACAAAATATCTATCCCCTCTGGGAAATATTATCAAAACATCTGAACACTGGCTTAATCTTTGCACTCATTAAAGGCAAAAAGAAATTTGCCTTCCATTTATTTAATTCTTGAACCTCAGCATTATTGAATGAAAACAGTATGAAACTGTAGCTGACAGAGTCTTCTCTTTAGATAAGATTTTTCTTGATACTAAACCAATACTTATCTAATAGCATATGACCCACAAGAACTTTAAAGTTCAGTCTTACTTTAATGTATCTCTGAAACATAAATAACATTCAGCATATTTCTAGAAGCTTTATAACAGTAATGGTTTTTTTTCTTGCAACTAAGCATTGCATGCATTTTTTGTGATGCGCTTATGCACATATACACAAACCTAGTGAAAAATAACTCAGTATTAAACATTAGCTGCACTTGACCCACCGCACGTACAATCATTCCTGAAGCCTAAGAACAGAGTATTCCCTAACACACATGTAGTAATGCAAACTAAGAAACAGGCAAAGAGCTAATAGCAGGTATGTTAGATATAGGATATAGAGTAGTTAACACACTGTCGGACAACTTTTCTGTGTCCATTCTTCAGAACTGCACTTACAAAGTACAACATTCTTTACCAAACAGAACCAAGGACATGAAAATCTAACAAGGACAAAATGCATTAACAAGTTCTGCCTACAAGGCTAGTGATCAGTGGTAAACTGATTTTTTTTTTTTAATTTCCTATATAGCATTCAATCTTTTAGCATTATATTAGTGTTCAATCATAGCAGAACCTATTAGTACAGAACATTGCAAACTGCACCAATTAAAGATAAACTGATGGAAAACTTCATAACCCGTTAACAATCAGGATATAATTTATCAGTATTTTACATTAGTGAGTCCCTTACGTGACACAGAAAGAAACAGGTACATACTCTGATCCAAAATTTCTTCTTCTTCTGCTTTGGTCTGCTGCAGCAAAGAACTTTTATCAGTATCCTTGGTTTCTGAAAAATGGATTTATGATACTATGTTATACTCTGCATGTGGATGGAAGTTAGTATCTTCCCAGTGAAGAAAAATGCCCTTCTGAAATGAACATTTAGTACTTTTATCTGTCTATAGTATTCGTACCAGACAGTGCAGCAGTAAAACAATGGAATAAAAAAGTAAGATTTGTACTTTGCTATGCTGACATACCAGTCAGATTACTTATGGATAATGATGATGCTGCAACTTAAATGCAGGGTTCAAGATAAACATTTCATTCCTTCCACAACAAGACAGTGGGATCCAGAAAACTATGGAAATGTTATGATTCAACTGTATAGGAAACAGATAGAAGGTTAAGCAAATCTTAAGAAAATGTGACTAGAAAGTACTGATATTTGGCATAGAAAAGAGGGCAGTCTTGTGGGTACACAGTTCATGTAACTATAAAAATGTGTTGGAAATCGAAAGACAACAACAGGAAGAAACTGGCAAAAGACTATGGTAGACATTTTCATCAAAAACAAGAGCAAAATCCCATGATGGTATACAGTTAGTGATTTGAATGTTGTTCAGAATTGCATTTCCTTCTTATGAAAATGTAACACATCAATGCAACACAGAGAAATACATCAGTGAGAATAAAAAGATGAATAAAATGCATTACAAGTTTTTTTTCACCTTCATGGTGTCCATGTGTCATCTTTAGCATATCAGACTTGACTGGAATAGGAATATTTGCCTCCTGCGGTATATTTCTGAACATCTCAGGATTTGCATTCTGTGTGCAGGTCATATATGAGACAGCATGCTTGGCTTCCATATAGTACATAATGTAAAAATTACACATTTCATCATTGGCTGTTCCGCTACACAACACAGAAAAGATGCAGCAGTTAGGAAAAAATGAGCAATCCATCTAACTTCTTTAACAGACTATTAAAAAGTTGCAATGAAATGTTTAGAAGTCCCACACTAAAACATTTAATAGCTTCATTGCAGCGAGTATCAAAAGCTTCTTTCAGTTTATACTACAGAACACCAGTTTGCACAAACTCCCCAGGTATCTCAAAATTCCTAACCATTTGGTTTTGAGTCTACAGAAAATTGCATCAACTTTTTACACTCCTCTTCCTTCTCATTTCCTCAGTACATTCCTGAGTCTCCCATCTATCATCAGCTATGCACATGTTCTGATGAAATACAACAGAATAAACAAATAGAACAGATAAATATCTCTCAAAGAGAAGACTGCAGTACCATCTTGAGAACAATTTGATCACAAGCTTCTGTAAGGAAAACATGAGTGCAAGAGGAATGATTAAATGCTAGCAAAATTCAGTTCTTTGATAAATGTTGTGCATATACTTGAAACTGAAGAGACTCTTCTGTACTGCTATGCAATCCTGTCTCCAACAGAAAAAAATAGCTGATATGAGAAAGAATCTTTTGTGAAAAATATTACTTTGTGAAGCAGCCTCTTTGCAGCTTTGGTTTGTTTCTGTTTCCTTCCTCTGCTATATAGGTTGATGTAATTTATTTATAGCTGCAATCCTGAAAATGGAATAAGCTAGGACTTAAAAAGGTTTACATTTACATTAAGATTACGTTAAGATTTTTTAATTAGCGTTCACAATTAACCAGTGACCTCACTCACAAAAAGATACAGCGGTTTCCTATTAGCTGTTTGCCAAAGACGTCAGCACTGACTTTTCCAGCAGCATGCTGCAGCATTCATTTATTCACCATAGCAACAATAACAACACTAGCCGGAGAGGAGACAGGGGAACATGGGAGAAGAGACTGTTTCAAAGGCGGAACTGGTATTTTTCCATGCATTGAGAATTTAGCAGCCCTTGGAGATGACAAAAATCAGACTCTCTTGGCAAGCTCTGCTTAAGGTTTTAGAAAGCATTAACTTCACTGTTAGACTCCCAATATCTGTCACTCCTTGCCTCCTCTTTAAAACGACAGTAGAAAAGGTAATGTGAAATTCACACAAACTCTGTTTCACCATACACCTCCCTGTGTCTAAACATTTCAAAGTTGATGATTTTAAATATTTACAGTAAAAAAAAAAAAAAAAAACTACTCCATCAACAACAGTTTTAATAAATTCAATGAAACCCCAAATCCTTCCATTAGATAGTTAAATTCCTGAGAAACCCTGTTTTGTGAATGAGTTTAATAAGCAGAAATGTTGATGCACAAGTTAAAAAGAAATACAAAATAAAATTCCTGTCAACTGCTGCCATAAATACCTAGAATCATATCCAGATTTTGGTATATTAACAGTACAGAGTGAAGCATAATGAAACAGAGGATTTAGCATCAAAAAGCAATATAATGCCGTTAAAGAATCTTTCAGGCACATAAACCTGTCTTGAACACACACTAAACATATTCTGAAAAGGAAAGATACAGGTTGCACTATTTTCTGTTTGTTAAGAGTTTTAAACAATACATTTACCTTGCAACTGGAAAAACAGTTATTTTTTCCATGGTGGCCAATAGCACTTTCCTTTAGGAAGATTTAAGATTTTTACACTGAAAGGGCTCCAGTTTTTTGGCATCTCTTAGACTGGTAAGCTATATGCCACCTGAGACTGTACCAACGCTAATATTTATCCCGAGACATCATGACATTACCTGTAACAAAACTGCAGCAGCTGCTTCTGTGGAGCACTTACTGTAGCAAATATTAGAAGAAAACTTGCTTTGTAAATTAGGAATAGTTGCTGTCCTTATTTGACAAGGGATAATTTAACCATCTAATTTGCAAAAGTTTGAGCTTGACGAGAAATCCAGTTAAAAGAAATGGAAGATATTATTAAGTTTTTTAAGAGATGAATCCTCCCTCAGCTTTTTACACAAAGACATTAAGTCTGTGCTTGTATGCAGTCAACTGCACAAGCAAAATCAAGTTTCATTTCTGAACCTTGGTTTGCCAATCTCTACACATTTAACAGGCATGACTCAATACCTCATTTAATTTCTTAGATGAGAAGAGGAAGCAGGATGAAAAAGGTTAGTCTAGATGGTGGGGATCATACGTTCATGTATAATAATGGAAACCAGTTCGCGTAACTAAGGAAAAAATTCAATAAACCAAGAGGAAATATGTAAAAAACCAAAAAGTATAGTAAGGAATATATAAAGGCAACACCCACCCCTCCCACCCCACAACTCTGCCTAAAACAGAATCATAGGATTTGGTTTGGGTTGGAAACCATCTTAAAAATCATGTAGTTCCACCCCTCCTGCCATGGGCAGGGACATCTCCCAGGTTGTG